CACACAATAAGCCCTTAGAAAATGCTATAATTCAATTTACTCCTAGAACCAATCAGCTAACTGACTAAAATTAAATCAAAATCTTATCTTTTCATTAATGCACATTCTGGAGGAAGTCAGGACAGTAAACCATATGATTGTTAAACCACGTCTTGATTCACACTGTGTCAATCTTAAATACAATCATTCATGATTCTGAATTTCATCAAATTTTCCTGAGCAGGTATATACCTAGAAAAAGATGTTTTAATTAAAACTATTAACCAATATCAGCATGGCTCTACGCTAAAAGCTTGGCTTGGAATGGAAGCAAATTAACATAAGATGCCAATCTAGCAGGAGGAAAGGCATCCTAGGGGTTCTTGTCCAGAAGAGGAGCTGGAAGAATTCAAGTGATCCGCATCGATGAGCACAGGGTGGCGCTGCTATTGTATTCGTGTGAAGAGCCACCTTGAGCAGCGCCCACACTGAGACCAACGGGAAAGATGGGCCCCTGCGGAGGAACCCACCCCTAGGGCAGAAGACCTTCGTTGGGGAAAAACAGAAAAAGGAGTCCACGGCGAGCTGTTTAGTTTTTTAAATACTATACATATCCAGTAAACTCCCTAGAATGTGAATACTCTCTGTGAACCCTGAGAAAGAAAAAAATTGTACTTGGATATAAATTATACCAGGCATAAATCAAAAGTTTGTGAGGCCAGCTATGTATCAGTAATATTTGCCATTTTGAACACTCAGTCCGTGCCAGGTGCTTTTCTCAGCACTTTTTACACATTAACCCCCACAACAATCCTGTGAGGTCAGCGCCCCATTTTACAGAGGAACAAAGGGAGGCACAGGGAGCTTGCAGAACTTGCCCAAAGTCAGAGAGCGGCAGAGCAGGGATTAGAACTCAAAGTCGGAATCTTCCTCATCACGCTCTGCTCCTCTTACCGTGTTTATAGATTCGTGCTTTGTTCTGTTTCGGAAAGGAGGAGGAAAGGAACTACAATCTCTTCCTTTGCCTTTAAGCTGGGGTGGAAGGAAATTTTCCATCACAGTCTTCTAAAGTCAGACTAAACAACTGGATAATTCTGGTTTTCACAGATTTAAAGCAAAGATGGAACTAAGCCATCCAGATGTCATTTGGAAACTGTATAAATAGGACCTAGTTTTTAAAGAAATTGATTACATTTTAAATGTCTGAAGGAGGCGTGCTAGTCATGCAGGGATGAGGAGCCTTATGTAATTATTTTGAGGTTGGCTCAAAAAATGTACAGTCCTATTATAGGAAGAGAGACATAAAAAACAAATGATGTCGAAAGCCTAGAAGGTCAAGTACAAGGACCTGATGGCCCCTCCTTCCTGTATAATTGCAGATTCATTCTCCCGAGATGTTTTTACGTTGCATTCTTGCTCTGTTGTCTAACTCGTATCCTCTGGAAGCTTCTCTTTTGTCAAAAACCAATGCGTTAACATTTGACTGAATATGGCACTGTGAAATTTCCATAATGAAAATTCACACACATACACACACACACTTCAGATGGGTATGGACCTCTACCATGAGAATTACCTGTTTATGTGGTTGGTTTACATATTATTAAACCACCCATCTGATCTCTAATGGCAGCCCTGCTGACACTGTCTGACCCAGTTTGACAATCTGGATGGAAGTTGTAGGGTTGGCTGTTCAATGGCTGTGACTTCTAACAGCACTGCTTTTGGGCCTCAAATCAATTCTCTGTGTTTACAGACCATTTCACAGCCCTTTACCTGCAACATCACTTGTGTCAGTCTCATAAATACTTTGGTGTATATAATGCTTGAATTAGCATAATGGTTTAGGCTCTAAGCTCTCAGTCCAAAGAAGGACACGTCAACATGTTCTCTTCACTTAAGCAATTAAGAGGCATTATGCTGCTCCAGTGGAAATATCATCAAGGTTAAAGACAATCGCAAACAGCCCTCTCACCTTTTTATTCTAAGTCTAATAAATGAGGCATAGAAATTGAAATGTTAGTAAACAGTCCTACTTGAAGCTCTTTTTGGATCATGCTTAATCAGACCCCCATTCACCAGACGTTTCCAATGGATTCAGAAATGTGTATATTGAATCGTTCATTTAATGCAAGAAAATGGAGTTTGCTGATTTTACTTCAAAGCCAGAGTGAGCCCTAATTTATTTTTGCTAGATTTTTTAATTTCCAGTATCCAATTCTGTAAAAAATATTTCTATACTTTTATTATTTAGTGTGACAAAAGTTACGTTTCTAAAGGTGATAATGTTTTTGCCGTGACTTTAAAACAAAGGGATATTTCTAAGGTCTTTCTATATTTTTTTCTCTTTAGACTTTTTAAAAATTAGCTTTATTGAGGTATAATTTGCATACAACAAAATTCTACTTAAGTATAGACTGTGATGAGTTTTGGCAAATGTACACAGTTGCGTGATGACCATGACCATGAAGATGGAGACTATTCCGTGACCTTGCGGTAATCCTTTTCCCCACCCTACTAAACAATGATCTGCTTTTGATCACTAGCTTTGTCTTTTCTAGAATTTCACATCAACAGAATCAGATGGCATCTAGTCTTTTGTGTCCGGCGTCCCCTCTTTGTAGCTTGTCCTCTGCGTATCAGCAGTGAGGTCATGTGGGAAACAACATGGGGGAATTCTGGCTCCACCACTTCTAGCTCCACGACCTTGAGCAAGTTACTTAAATCCTCTGGGCCTTAGTTCCCTCTTCCGTAAAATGGAGGTAACACCCCCACGGGGTCCATGTCGGGTGTAAACTCAGGGATGGCACCTAGAAAGTGCTCAGTAAGTGCTGCTTCCTTAGATCGGTCAGGTTCCCTCGAGCCACCTACTTCTTTGCTCGCTGTACACAGCTCTCAGGGCTATGACTGAATCCAGTGTCTACAAAAGGCACAAGAGGGCTTCTTTAGGGTTTAGCAATCTTCTGTATCTTCATTGTAATACTAATTACACAACTGTATACATTTGTCAAAACTCATCAAACTGTTCACTTAAAATTGAATTTTATGATATGGAAACTATATTACAATAAAGCTCATTTCTTTCATCTAAAAATAATAAAGAAATAGAGAAAGACCTTGGAAATGTCTCTTGGTCTAAAAGTCACACGTGATGAGAGATACCCTCGACTCAGGGCTTCATCAGCCGAGCTTGCTGCCTCAGTCAAATGAGGGAGGCATTCAAAGCCTTTCTGAAGAACAGCACGTTTGACACCACCAGCAAAAGCCTACAAGCAGCAAATGCCGTCTTCACAAACCGCTGTCTTTGTGCCGACTCTGAAGTTTAAGAAAGCAGTTGTGCAACGAGAGAGTAAAAGTGGTGTAAGAGAAAGACGTGTGTGTGTGTGTGTCTGTGTGTCTGCGAAAGAGATAAAAGGTAGGTAAATGACCTTGTGTTCTGGCCACCTTGAACTACCAGCTTCAAAATGTCGTCAACAGCTTATTGCAGAGAAAGAAAACCTGAGCTCAAAGCAGTGCCTGGAAGCCTCAAGTCCTCTGGGACACCTTCCGCCTCCCAGTGCTGCGCTCGTCCCCAGGCTGAGTCGGGTGCCCCTTCTCTGTCACAGCAGTTCCCACACTGCATTTCAACTCTTGGTGTACGAGTCTGTCCTCTCCCTGATATTGTGCCATCCTTGAAGATAAGTACTTTTTTTGTATCTTTATATTCCCAACACCCTGAACAGCCCTTAGCAGGGGATTAGTAAAAGTTTGATGAATCAATGAGGTCTTAACCACATTACCTCCATTCATAATATTACAAAAAAACATATACCCCTTTTAGGAGGCTTTAATAGTGATTTGGGTCCAATTTTTATGAGGATCTGAAGTAATAAGGGAGCCACTAAAAGGCATGAAAAAATAACCACAAAGGAGAAGATAGGAGTCTGGCGGGAGGAACCCTCTCACTCCTAATTGCTAAGAGAAGTGTCATTTTTTTAAACCTATTTTATTGGTGTCATATTGGCTTACAACGTTGTGTAAATTTTAGGTGTCCATCACTATATTTCAGTTTCTGTATAGACTGGATCGTGTTCACCAGCAACAGTCCAGTTTTTATCTGTCACCATATATTTGCACCCCTTTACCCCTTTCAGCTTCCCCAAACCCCTCCTCCTCTGGTAACCACCAATCTATTCTCCTTATCTATGTGTTTGTTGGTTTATCCTCCACATATGAGTGAAATCATATGGTGTTTGTCTCTCTCTGTCTGACTTATTTCACTCAGCATAATACCCTCAAGGTCCATCCATGTTGTCATAAATGGCACAATTTTGTCTTTTTTATGGCTGAGTGGTATTCTATTACATATATACCACATCTTCTTTCTCCATTCATCCATTGACGGGCACTTGGGTTGCTTCCACATCTTGGTTATTGCGAATAATGCTGCGACCAACATAGGGTGCATAAACCTTTTTGAATTATTGATTTCATCTTCTTTGGATAAATACCTGAAACCATAAAATTCCTGAAAAAAAAAACATAGGCAGTACACTCTTTGATATCAGTATCTATTTGAATACCATGTCTACTCAGGCAATGGAAACAAAAGAAAAAATAAACAAATGGGACTACACCAGACTAAAAAGCTCATGAAAGACAGACAAGCCATCAATGAAACAAAAACAACCCACCAACTGGAAGAAAATATTTGCAAATCATACATCTGATGAGGGGTTAATTTCCAAAACGTATAAAGAACTCATACAACTCAACAACAAAAAAATGAACAGCCAATCAAAAAATGGGCAAAGGATATGAACCAACATTTTTCCAAAGAAGATATACAGATGGCCAACAGGCACATGAAAAGATGCTCAACATCTTTTCAACAGCAACTAATTATTAGGGAAATGCAAATCAAAACCACAATGAGATATCACCTTACACCCATCAGAATGGCTATTATTAAGAAGACAAGAAACAACAAGTGTTGGAGAGGATGTGGAGAGAAGGGAACCCTCATACACCGCTGATGGGAATGCAAACTTGTGCAGCCACTGTGGAAAACAGTATGGAGATTCCTCAAAAAATTAAAAATAGAAATACCGTACAATCCAGCTATCCTGCTACTGAATATTTACCCAAAGAGAAAAGTCGTTTGTCCTTCACTCCCAGAGACCCTGGTTTGGGCAAACATGTCCCTTAGGAGTTCTGAGTCCAGAACCTGAGGGACTGGGTTAGATTCCAGCTCTGCCAAACTTGTGCAACCTCGGACTAGTCACTAAACCTCCCTGAGCTTCAGGTGCCCTGCGACTTCGTGTCTCATCTGTAAAATAGAGGAAATAATAATGATGTCTCCTGCACAGGGTTCTGTGGAGTTAAATGAGATGGTGTGTACACAGCATGCAGCACAGAGCCTGGCACACTGTGGACATGCACAGAATGTGTATTTTCCAGCATGTTTCAAGGTGCAGACTCTGGAGTCCAACAGGTTAGCTTTGAATTTCAAATCATTCCAATTCAGCCACCAGTGCCTTTGTGAACCTAGACAGATTACTTATAACCTCGGGTTCCCCAAATGCAAAGTGAGGATAATAGCAGCACCCCCCATAGGGTTATTTTGAGGATTAAATGAGATAAAGAGTTCGGCATTGTGACTGGCACAGAATAAGCGGTCCATAGAGGTGAGTTATGATCCTCGTCTGACAGGATCAGCTCTACTGTAACCATATGAGTGCTGCTCCTCAGCAAGAAGGTTTGAGGTCAGACGACCTGGGTTCTAAATCCGTCTTTGCCAACCTCCTAATTGTGTACAAGACACCTCATCCCCCTCAATCTGTTTCCACCTGTACCATGGAGATGATAATCCTCACTTCACTGGCTTCTTGTGAAGATTAAATGAGACCATACGTAGAAACGTGCCTCATGTGTAACAGGTCTCCATTGAATGAATTTTAGTTTCCAGCCCATTTACCCTCTCCTTTCTTCCCATCCAGACAGCTTCTGCTCTTCAAGACATACCTAAAAATCCCACCTCATTCTGGAGGCTGTCTCATGCTGACCCATCTTGATCTCACAAATGTATTAGCTACTGTTCTTATTCTGCTGATTCTGTAAATTAGTCTTGACTCTCCATCTGGACCAATTAATCTTGACCTCTTCTGAGTCATGGACCCCTCTAGTAATCAGATATTTCATTGACTCAAAGGAATTCACATACGCATGAAAATCTGCAAATAATTCCAAGATGCTAACATCCCCTAAAACCTCTGAGGGCAGTGACAGTGTGGTCCTCTTTGTGTCTTCCAGGGCTGAGGATGCAGAAGGTGTTAGTAAAGCCTGGGTGATGGATTGATCAACCTTCTGCCTCAGAAGGTAAGTGGTGGCAGCACTGCACAGAAAGGGGCAGGATGCTCACCTGGGCAGAGAGCGAGAAGCTCTTTATAGTGTCTCTAACTTTTCCAAAGCAAAGCAACTGGAAGCTTCATTCTGACCTAAGGATGGGACACAAATATTGGAGCAATAAATAGAAATATGGAAAAGTAATCACGAAAATCTTCCATTCCTGCACCGCTGATGTGTCCAGTCCACAGAAGCCAAAAGGGTCCCTCTCCTCTCATCTTCAGACTCAGGTCACAGTTTTTCCCTTGGCTTTGCAGCTTCTCATTCCCCCTGTAAGGCCTGGTTGCTTAGTTTGACTGTTTTTTTTTTACTTAATGGCCTTTGGGTTTGCAATAAAACAGTTCATTTTTATCCCTGCTCATGAAAAATTCTTCAATTTTGGTTTTCCTGTCTGTCATCCTTGATCCTACAAGAGAGGTGCCACATATGGGATGTAAGCAGAAAGAGCCCCGACCTGAATTCTCGCATGGCTCTGAGTAATGGCTGTGTGACCTTGGGCAAATCACCTGTCTTTGTGGCCTCAGTTTCCTTCTTCATAAAACTTGGCCATCTCCCCCATCTCTAACCCTCCATGATTCTGAGACATTGCAATGACTCATGTTTGGAACTAAAGGATTTTCTAAAAGCTTCACTGTCATCCATGAAAAATGTATGGAGAATGGCTGGGAGGGATGGGTTTTAATGGTTCACTTACTAGATTAAGTGAGAGTTGTCATATTTACCATACAAAGTTTTCTAAACCATCCTAGAAAACACACTTAACCCTAGACAACAATAAATATAAGCTTTATTTCTTTGACAATTCAAAAATCTTATGGATCTTGTATCCAGTTTTCAAAGTTACAAAAGAAAAACGCAAAGTGGGATCTGAGTCATCAGACCATCTTCTGTACCTCCTGCTACGCATCTGTATGGCAGTGCCAACAAAGAAAGCAAAGGGCACAGTCAAAGCTGTCCTTGCTGTGCTGACTGTTCTGGCAAAAAATTATCATCCAAACATCTTAACATTCTGATATTCTAGTAACAAGACCGGCCTACCACAAAACCTGGAAGCAGGTGAATAGCCATTTTCTACTTTTATTCTGCCTACTCGGACTATGCAAGAGGAAAAAAAGATGACAAATAGCCCGAGAGAATTTCTTGACATCGTGCTTAACTGAAATTTCAAAATAAATCAGTTGGGCTCATTTTTAAAGACCTACAAGTAAATTATCATTGGGTCGTTTTGTTCTGTTCCCAACTGGGTTTCTGAGGGGCTGGTGGTGAGATACAACAGAGCTGAAAATAGGCCACAGTCTGCAAACATTGCCGCGTGGTTTGATTTAGTCTAAGTCTCGTGTAATAACTTTCTTTGAAGTGTGGGTTGAGGAGCAGGTTAGAAGCCCGAGGCCACAAGCTCATCTTGCTCTTGTTACAACTCCGATGCCCTGAAGTCCCCGCACTATATATCAGAGGCCTGGCATGGGAGTCCCTGGCTGATCAAGAGTGGAGCCCTCATTCGCTGCGCAGCACAGCGACCGCGAGACAAACAACAACAGGGTTGTGTTTGCCTGGGAAATCCATTCAATAAAAGGACGCAGGTGGGTCTTCGAGGAGCCTCTGAGCCGCAGGAAGGCTGACACTGATCTCAGGGAAGGAAAGAGGTCCACCTGGTAGAAGGGGGACAGTTCCCCCAACTGAGGGAGAGCAGGGCATCGCTGCCGATCGCTGGCTGGCCTCCGTCCTTCTCCAGCTTTGAGAAGCGCTCCTTCTCCGCGGATCCTCTGACCTGAGAAAATCTTAAGGCACCTCCCGGCTCCTCTTTGGCCTGATTTTTCTTTGGCAGAGGAGGGGGCTGGATGAGTGATCTCTTAGGCCACATCTGACTCTGACATCCGATGATTCTGACCCCACGACAGTCTTGTAGCTCCCGAGGGACTAACTTTCTTCCTTCCATGGGTCAGACACTTTCCAGTAGCCTGCGTTAGATCCTTACAGCTGAATTGGACCAAAGATGATTCTAGGATATAATAATACCTACACAGTTCCATAGAATTGTAAAATGATTTTACATATAATATTTCATTGGATCCTTAAAACAAAAACCTTGAGGAAGAAAAGGGTATTATTCTCCTCATTTCATAGAGGATGGAAGCTATGCTAAGGGAGGTTAAGTCAAACCTGCCAAGGTGAAAAGGGTTCTACAGACCCGGGCCACATCTGAAAAAACTCCAAATGCAAGTCATCTGAAAAAACTCCAAATGCAAGTTTCTCAGGCCGGACGCAGTGCACACACCCAGCAGAAAAGATGTGAGGGGCATCAGACAGCAGCAGTGAGCATTCTGGGAACATAAGTCTGACTCAGGCACGTTAGAGCCGCCAACGTGAATTCCGTGTAGGAGAAGAGGAAACAGTCCAGGGAGCGAGACAGAGGCTGGAAATGATCTTCACCGCCAGGACGCAGATTCTCGGCCTGACTCTAGGGCACAAGGGTCGTTCTTCGACTCCTCACGCAGTGCGCTGAAAGGAGAACAGAGGGCTGGGGGTGGAACTGATCTTAGGTAGCTGGTGGAAGTCACCAGTTCAAGCCAAGGACACTGGTGGAGGGCTGGGGGGAAGTGACAATTTGGGCACTGAGCACCAACTTTATGCCAAGCCCTCAACAGAGCTACGGCTGTTGCTTACAACTTATATCGTCTTCTATCTCAGCCTTGAAGGAGTCCTGTGGTGAGTTAGGGAGCCTGTAAAAATCCTACAGGTAGGATGAAACAAACAGGGTCCGTAACACGGAGGAGGTGTTAACACACACAGGCACACGCACACACACACACTCAGAAGGTAAGGCCTTCCTCTGGGGTCTTAATGAAAGAATGGCCGTTCTTGGGGGTGGAGGCCTCCCCATCCTAGTGCAGGGCCTGCCGGAGCAGAGGAAGCACTCCAACGACTAGAAGCAAAATGAATGACAACAGTGTCAGCAACAGTGTGGCATGGAGCCACCCAAGAGTGACAAACCCCAGAGATACACCCGAGTCAGCTCCCATCACCGGGAGTGACAGCAGGGCCGCGGCAGCAACAGCAGAAGCCGGGGCAGCCAAGTGTGGGGCCACATCACCTGCTGCAGCAGAACCACCGTGAGTTAAAGCTCCTCCAGGATCAGGAAAAGGTCAGACAAGAAAGGAACGTGGACAGATGAAGGAGAAGAAGGGATGCAACTAGAGGTAAGGAAAGCTCATCGAATTTGCAGATGACACAAAACTAAAAGCGTGCTTAATATGACCCTTTTGAGTCTCGGATCAGCAACATTTCATCACAGACAAACTCTGGGTCTACAAACCCAAGAAGGTGACCGTGAACAGGAACTTGCGTAGAGACCTGCACACACATTCTAAACTGAGCTGGACGGGACTGACAGGGTAAGAATGAGACGGGACAGGCTAAGAAAGACTTAGCTTGGGGGTTTTGGTGACCAGAAACTCAGCAGGTGCCGATGATGTGGCTGCTAAAAAAACTAAGAACCTCACAGGCTACAGTGATGAAAATACATGTCCGGACCACTGGGCTTTCGTGGCCAGACCATGCGTGCAGTATTATGATGGGGATTGGTGTCGCATCTGCAGAGGAACCCTGATATTTTGTGCTTGTCCTCAGGACCAGGACCAAGATGATAAGGGGTCCAGAAACCATGTCCCACAAGGGGCAGCTGCCACTGAGGACACCTCGGGGATCCAAAAGTGATCATTAATTCCTGAGTGAGACCTCTTCTTGAGAAGGAATCACACATGTGTGGCCTTATGGGATAGCACCAGAACCAAAGAACAGAAGGCCAGTGTTGGCTCCGTGCAGAGTAGGACTTTCTAACAGAGCTGTTCCCAGGCGGGAGGAGCTGCCCTCGGCAGTGGCGAAATCCCCATCACTGCAAGTGACTTCAAGTGGAGGCCAGATGATCTTCTGTCTGCGATACTACCGAAATGGTCCTGCATGAGGCAGAGGCTTGGGCCAAACGACCTCTGACACTCCCTGCAGCATTCAGAGACCAGGTCCAGGTTCTCTGCCTTGGAAACCAACCATTCAGTCCTGGAGGTGAGACCCCAAAGGGACCCTGCTCTACCCTGGGCCTGTGGGGTACAGAGTCTCACCACAGCTCTGCTCTCAGAATGCCCCTTCTCAGCAAATGATGAGGTTCCAAATTATTTAGGATCTGGGGATAAGAAATGTACTTTTATGAAGCAAACAGGTGTTTGCCTTCCTCTTGCCCTCTAAATGCAATCAATCAAATTCGTTTTGGGGCCGGCCCTGTGGCCAAGTGGTTAAGTTCACATGCTCCACTTCACTGGCCGGGGGTTTGCCAGTTCAGATCCTGGGCACGGACCTACACACTGCTCATCAAGCCATGCTGAGGTGGCATCCCACATAGAAGAACTAGAACGACCTACAACTAGGATATACGACTATGTACCAGGGTTTTGGGGAGAAAAAAAATTCGTTTTGCTAAGTTTTAAAAGTGTCCGAAAAGCCCTCTCTTCCTCCTCACCTCCAGGAACTCTGCCTTCCTTCAGGCCATCATCATCTCCCCCTCCCCTGGGACTTTTTCAATGGCATCCTAGGTAGGCTCCTTCCCTCCACTCGTATCTTCTTCAATAGACAGTCGTTTTTAGAGCCAGGCTTCCGTTTTGAATAGCTCCTCACTGACCTCATGGGATAGTACCAGCTCTTAATGTTGCATGGAAAGCCCTGCAGCCTCATGTTCTGTGACCTCCCACACACGCCAGCCCCCCTACACACGCACACGCACACGCACATGCACACGCACGTGGGCTTTGTACTTCAATAGCACCGCACTCTCTGTAACCTTCTGCCCACACCATGCTGTGTCACATCTTTGTGCCTTTGCACGTGCTGTCCCCTCTATTGGAAATACCCTCGCCTTCTCCAGTCCCCACCCTACTCACCAGAATTACTCCTATTTATACTTTTTTATACATCAAAGATTTGCTCAGGCATAACCTTTTAGGAAGCCTTCTTTTAAGCTCCCCAACTCACACCATCTCCCAAACTTCATCTCTCCTTCCCATTGGCCACCTCCGTACCCTTGGACATGGCTCAATTACAGCGTGTATTACACTGCATCGAAATGCAATTATTTCCACGTCTGTCTTCGCCACTGTTCTTGGGTTTCTTAAAGGCTGAACGAAGTACTATTCGTCTACAAATGCCTAGCACTCGGCCCAGTGCTGAGCACACAGTACACCCCGGTGTTTGTTGAACTGACCTGACAAAGGTGTCTTCATGGACACGTGTATCCTCTGTTGTGATACAGAACTCCGTGTTATGGAGCAGATGAGCACCAAGTTCTACAGTGGAAAACAAGGTTAAACATTGAAAACTCCCAGTCACTTTAAGTTAAGTGAAAAGGTCCCAGGGCCAAGAACAAAGCCTTAGAAGGGAAGGAGGGGAGATTTTAACCTGTGCATTTCTATCACCCTCATTGCTTTGTCTTGAAAAGCCTTAATCAGGAAGCCGGTTGCGAAGAACACTGGATCTCTGGTCTTGGTGTTCCAAAAGGGAGATTCTCAACTCAGAAGCTAAACCACTCATTTTACTCAACAAAAACTCACTGAGTGTGTACAAAGCATGGCGTTAAGCACTACGGTCATCCAAAAGGGGTATTTTGAGGCTAAAGTGAAATAGAAAAGAGCTTTACTCTATAGAGTCATAGGGTCAGTAACATGCCCAAGAAGACCGTGTGCGTAGTTATCCTACACCACACACAAGGACAACCTTACAACCGGAATAAAATAATCCTTTGCATTTACTGAGTGCTCATTCATTACGTGCTAGGAACTACTCCAAGCCCTTCATTCATTCATTCGACAAATATGTACTGAGGTCTAATGTGGGATCAGCACTGTTCTAGGTGCCAGGAAACCCACAGCAGACTAAACCCACAAAACCCGTTCTCTAGGAGTCTACATTCTGCAGGGGAGACACAATAAACAAACAAACAAAACATATAGAAGGCCAGATGATGGTAAGTGCCTTGGAGAAACGTAAAAGAGAGACTGGAGATAAGAAGAGCTGGATAGGACGGACGTGGAGTGGGGTGGCAGTCTCACTGAGGTGTCAGGGAGGACATCAATGAGCAGGTGACACGTGAGCAAACACCTGAAGAAGGCCAGGGAACGAGCCATGAGAACATCTTGGGGACGGGAGGGCCAGGCAGAGGGCAAGGCAAGCACAGAGAGGAGACCAGGACCGGAACACAGAGGGCCCTGTGGGCCATTGTGAGGACTTCGGTTTCTGCACTGAGTGACAGGGGACACCATCGGAGGGTTTTGACCGATTTTTAAATCACTCTGTTTGTTATGTTGAGAACAGTCTGCAGGAGGGCAAGGGCTGAAGTACAGAGGCTACTGCAACAGTCCAGGTGGGAACAGCCAGAGGCTGGGGACAGGACGTAAGCATGGGGTGTAGAGGAGAGACTGGTTCCTAGAAACATATTTAAGTAGAGATGGCAGGACTTGTTGATGGAATTGCTACAAGGTGTGAGAAAGAGAGAGAAGAGTCAAGGACGATTTCAAGGCTTTCGTCCTGAGCCACTGGATAGACAGAATTTCCCTTTATTGAGACAAGGCTGAGGGGCAGGCAGCTTTTGGGGGGTGGGCGTGGGGAGGAGAGATCAGGGGCTTAGCTCTGATGGTATTTATTCAAGATGCCCACGACATATCCAACTGGAGACGTGAAGCAGCTAGTTAAGGGGAGAGATTCAAGCTGGAGTTATAACTTAGGGAGCAGCTACCATACATATGATATCTAAAGTCATGAACCTGGAGGAAATCATCAAGGAGGATAAACACAGAAGAGAGGAGAAAACGACAGAGGACTGAGCTCCAGGGCACTCCACTCACACATTAGAGCGCTGAGAAGAACGTCAGGAGGAGCAGTGAGGGAGGAGAAAACCAGGACAGCAGGGCATCTTGCAAGCCAGGCAGAGTGTTTCAGGGAAGAGAAAGTGATAACCTGTGTTGAATAGCACTGATGGGTCAAAGAAAAAGAAAACTAAGAATTGATCATTGCATTTAACAACATATACACCAATAATCTTGGTTCACTTAAGACTCCCAACTCTGTATGACAGGAATTACTATCATTCCCAGAGACGGAAACTGAGGCAGTGCAAGATTAGGTAACTTGCACAGGGCCACACAGCAAGAGAGTGGCAGACTGGCATTTGAACGCAGGCAGTGTAGCTCCGGAGCCCATCCTGCTTGGGGAAATAGGAAAAACAGGTTTCTGTGGGAAGTTGACTAAATGGTAAAGAGCCTAGAACAGTACTTTTAACCCATTATGCTGAAGCTCTGTTTCTGGTCCTGTTCCTTGATTTAATCTGCTGTGGAGCTTTTTGTTCCAAGTCAGGAAAAGGCATTGGTTGACTTCCAAGGTCCAATCTTATGGAGACTTTCTGGATGCTTACTGAGTATCCAGGACTAGCCTGTTAGCTCAGCTGGCTAGATCCCAGTGGTGGACGCCAGGGAAGCAAATGCATTCCTTGACATGAACCAGTCAGGTTTACAGAACAACTATGTCTTGTGGACATGAGCTAAATTCTTTGTCTGGACAAATATCTCGTACACAGCTTCAGTTCTCCTGCAAAGATAATTACAGCCTGTGTTCTGTTGCCAAGGTCTCAGTAGTACCTCTTTCCTGCTCAAAGAACATGTTCTTTCTTTTTCAGTGCTGAGGAGAGGGATAGTTTATGTGCCCAAATCTTCGCGAGATGGCAGTATCCTCAACAGCTCAGATTTGTAAACTAATGTATCTATATTTTGGAGAGCAAAGAGCTGCTCTTTATAGAAACAAGATAGACTATATTCTGGAACCAATCAAATGGAGACCAAACCTGAATCAAGCATTAGCAAGGATCACAGCCCACTATTCAGAGATTTCTTTGAATAAATCTGGGGAAAGGAAATTTTAACTGAGTGTTTTATATAATTTTTAAAAGCCGCTCTACCTTTTGAGGTAGGCTTATCTAGTTAGTAACCTACAAGGCTTTGGGCAGCTGATACTGGTTGATAAAAACCTCCAGGTGTCAATCACGATTTAAACCTCCAGGACCTCACCCAGTAAATACATTCCTTAGGAAATCATGCCCTGGCCTCTGCCCTTTTATTAGATCTTGTGGCCAAACTCAGTTGTGCCCACATGGATTTATTGTATCTACATTTTGGAGGTAATGAGAAATTTATAATAAACTTTATATTTGGTCTAATTGTAAGTGGTCACTTTAACTTTCATTCTACATGTTGAATCACTAATTTGGATACAGTGTTTTGACCAGTTGGCAATCTTTGTCAAGCCCGGTTACATCTGAGATTATGCTGATCAGTACTCTGAAATCCTCATGCAAATATATAACTAGAAAGTATCCTAGCTCTCTGTTTTCAGCTCCCTTAAATCCCCAATTTCCCCAGTTAAAATAACTATTTGTTTATTTTTGTTGTAATCAGAGGACAAGACTTCTTCCAATTCATGAGCCACGCCACTGGTGGTACTATGGAATTTCCTCTTCATTCCAGGTCATATCTAAGGCTTGCCTCAATGTTGCCATCTATCATAAATGATGACTGGCAACAGACGGAAATGTCAATTCAGCATTAGAGATGCTATGTAGACACAGAAAAAGGAGCTTCAGTGCAAGAGTCTTTCGGATCTGACTATCTTACACTACCATCAACCCATAGCCAGGTCATGTTCAATCAAGGTCACACCCACACTCTCCTCCTGCTCTACACGTGCACCATGGCGCCATTTTGCCCTGCCAGATAACTCTTGCTGGGTGATTCTCCTCATGGTCTCACCAGGCCAAGCATCTGATCTGTCAGAGAAAATAACAAGAACTACCATTGCAAAATTTATGTATACTCAGTTTTTCCTTATTTCTTTTTAACCAGTGTGGGTGGAAGTGGGAGGGGATGAAAAGCAAAAAACATGGTCCTACTGATCTAGCAATAGCTTAATTTTTCCAGACAGATCCAAGGTTGGCTCTCATAAACTAGAAAGAAAATTTGCCCAGCAAAAGAAGGGTTCTAATCAGAAGACTGTGAATATAATATAAGATGAAGTTTCCCACTGACTGGGCTCTTTTTGAGGTAGAAAGGCTTAGGACAACTTATGGAACATTTCAAAACGATGACTTATAAGCATTCGGCCCTTTTTAAATCACACACGGCCCCTGAATATGAGGGGCCACAGGCTGGGTGGTTTCAGTCTGTCCACAGCTGGCAGGAGATAAGACGCATTTAGCCCTACCCACCACCGCGAAGGCTGGTTCCCCCACACACCGCCCCAGCAGTACACGCACGGAAATGTGGACTTTTCTGCAGCCGAGAAGCCTATACATAATACTGTTACTATCCTAGGCACCTATTAAATATGATTGAAACAACGCCCATTGGAAGTCTTAAAACCTTAACCACCGGTTTTACTTCTAAAATAAAGTAAACTGCCAAAAGTTCTGATAAAAGTGACAATTTATATTTTTAAGTAGTACAACTGGAATTTTCCTATAGCTGTAGACAAAGGAATTCTTACTCAGATAAGTAGAAGAGCACCAATAAATTTAAGGTAGCTTATGCAAGTTAGGCACTAATGAATGTCATCTTCTGTTTTGTCATGAAAAAAGATCTTTCTGCTGCTAAAGGAGACTGATTTAGATTATGAATAGCTGTAGTGATTTGCAAAAATGGCTCCAGAGAGATAGAATGAGACTCCATATACTCATGGCACTTGAGGTTTCTGCCCTTTTTGTTGAAAATTAATTTGTCCTGTGGGTTATTGGATTCTAGCTCAGCCAATGTATATTGCTCAGTCATCACAAATTTACTTAAAATTTAGTGTAGCTGAAGTTCATTCAACAAGACAAAAGTCTACAGTTGAAAGCTTCTAAAAATCTTTTTAAAAAACTGGCTAACAGTGTAATTGAAAGTGCTGGCGTCTAAGTAGCTTCACATAATGTTTTGCAGGTATCAATATATACTATATTACTAGGTTAGAAATAGATTTTTTACTTGTTTCCCAAGAAAAAGCAGACAGGGAGGATTTATCATCCTTTGGTAAGAGGACATTTTGGTTGAAGGTTCCATATTCTGAAAAAATATAAATCCCTAAATTCAGATCAAATTCTGTAACACATACCATATAATTCAGTCATTTGTGTATTTTACATAATTTTAAAACAAATATTTTTAAAAGCAAATAGAATATACAACTCCTAATGCTTCCAAATCCCAATGCATTACACTAGACAAAAATTAAAAGAACGCAAATTCTGTCTCCCTATTTCAGCAACTCC